ACGCAACTCCGCTCTGTTTGTTTCGCTTCTTTCCGGCCGTTTGCGGGGATTGTGGAGTGATATGTGGGAGTTAATTTCGCGAGTGGAAGGAAAGAGAACTCCCCGGGCAGGGCAGGGCGTATATAAACGTGCTTTATGGACAATGAACTGGCTGTGCAAACGTGAGCGTGCGCCGGGTTGCCTACCCTACAACGGTGGGGGCAAATAGCAAAGAAAAAGAACCCAACTAAAGCGGTATTATTTTTTACTTTCAATTTTTTCTTGCACCTGTTCTGTCTAATCTTTATTCTGCAAAGACTTAAAAAAAGGCTTTGCTTCTTTGCGTGTGGATCTTACGATGTTTGATATTTCGTTTTATTGTTCATCTTTTTGGCAGTGTTTGGGGCGCGGGATGAGACCTTTCCACGCCCCACTGATAACGCAATGACGTGTGTGGTGTGCACGCGTGCCCCGCCACTTCCCACCCGTTAGCAGCCCCCCCCCCCTCCCCTCCCTCTTCCCTTGCGCCCGTAGGTCCATCCCCCAATCCTCGACACTCGATGCCCCCCCCCATCCCCCCACTTCCTCTATTCCCTACCCCCGCTACCTCAACCCTTCCCCCCTCCCCTTCTCCATCCCACAAAGCCCCCGTGAAAAGCTTAGCGGGCCGCCCGTTCGCAGAACACCTGACTCGAATACAGCAATGCTGTGTCGTGCAATGTGATGGCCATGCGATTTTACTTTTTGCCCCGATTTCGGGTTTTGTTGTCGCTTTTGTTTGCGGTCTTTATAGTTTTTGGATATCTCACATATTATAAAACTTTTTCGAACCCATTAAGCTGCTTTCGCCGCAATGCAAGCTGTATCATCACATGTACATGTATCGTGTATAATCGTATCATCAAAAGGATCATCTTTTTATTATTGTAGTAATAACATTTAAAATGCTCACGTATTTCCGTGCATAAAATGAAGTACGTTCCGAATGAATGAACCAAATCGCAAGTGCGTGAAATGGTGGCGTTGAACACACAGAGTGTATGCGCGGCGTGCGGCTAGAGCGGGCGGGTAGGAAGCTGCCCCGGAGAGAGAGGCTGGCGGTGAGAGGAGAGAGGCGGAGAGGGTTGGGAGGGTGAGAGGAGAGGGAGAAGCGGGAGCGGGGCCCTCCTTCTCTCTCAATCCCCATAAAAGTGAATGTGCACGGGGCCGCCCCGCCCGGGAGTGGGGTGGGGGGCAAGGATGGAGGCAGGGTGCGGCGGTGCGGGGTGGGAAGGGTGGGGTTGGGTCGACGGAAGCGCGCTGCTATTCCTTTGTGTATAC